AGCACAAAATAAGTATGTTTTTAGGTGAACTAGAATTACATTACTTCATTCCTCTATCCAGCCTTTTCCACTCACCCTCCCTCAAACCCCTTCCGTGCCTCCCCTCAGGTTGATAGCCTCTTTTTCTTTTATTATAGTTTGTGTACACGCGCGTGCACACATACACACACACACACAGAATCTGCTGAGTCTACTTTTTTTTGTGTTTTGTTTTGTTTTTACGAGACAGGGTTTCTCTGTATTGTTTCGGAGGCTATGGGTCCAGCCCGGCCTCGAACTCACAGAGATCCGCCTGCCTCTGCCTCCCAAGTGCTGGGATTAAAGGTGTGCGCCACCATCACCCGGCTGAGTCTACTTTTGTTGTTTGTGTGAATACGGTTTCAAAACCAACCATTCTGCATTGGGAAGCCAATATGGTGACTTTCCGTGGGACCTTCTAGAATCTGCCCCTCACACAGAAAGCATCCGTATGAGGGTGGATTTGACTTAACACGTTACCTTTTCAAGAAGGGGTAGTAGATCTGCACGTATTAAACTTGTAGCTTCTAGACACCGTATATTTGCTTTAGAAAATGCTTCTTGATGTCTTCTTAGGCTTATTTCACACTAATGTGTATGCATCTGTATCAGAGTAGCTGTCCTTCTCTGAACACACTCTTTGTGATAGAAGTAAGTCTATGGCACAGAAAGGAGACAAATGATTGAAGCTTGACACTGCGATACTGGGATTTTCTTAAGATAGTCCACAGAGTAGGTGTTATTCATAAGGGATGTGGTATCTGAGAAGTGCACACTTATGGTGCACATATCCAGGGTTATCTCCTTTAGTGTGTGGTATTTTTCACAGACAGAATTTTAATTGACCCATTTCAATCTTAAGTCTAATGGAAATGAATGTGTTGGAAATACCAATACAAATTTTACTAGAAACTTGTACATCTGAGTCTGTGTAAGTATACAGTTGGTAAACATATTGTAACCCATATGAACTCATCCATACATCTATCAACCAGGTCTCTGTACTTTCTCAAGGCAACTTAGGAACGTGTCAAAGGAAGGCAAGTGATGAGAAGAATAATCTCTGTGGTGGGATCATTTGCAAACATTAGACATGAAAACTCTTAAAGGAGAGGCATCTTTAAATACTGTGCTTGACAGCATCCTAGCTGAAGCCCTCTGCAATCAGGGGCCCTCTGCAGCCAGGCCTCTCTGGTGGGGGGCCGGAAGGCCTTCCGGGCTTGTCCCCACAGACTGCAGTTTTGAGTTCCAGTCACTGAAAATTCACCGGTTTTCTGTTCCTCGCTAACTCAGTTGTTACACTATATAGTACTCTATTTAATAATTGCAATCAGATTTCTTCAAAAGGAAAAAAATCCTTTGCAAAGAATTTTTTTCTCAATTTGCTGATTAAACAGCCCGATTCTTGGGAAGAGTGCTATGGATTACTTGACAGCACACATCTTTATTCATGAACACTTTAAAATTCAGTTTTGCATCTGTTTAATGTCATTTTTCTGCAAAATGAATGAAGTTATTTTAAAGTGATAATGGAGAGCCTGAATTCGGTACTTTGGAACAATTAAAACAGAAGCAGCTTTCTTGAAGTCCCTACATAGAGGAGCTTATTGGCTCTTACCTAAAAAATAGTGAAAAGTCCTTATCAGAATCTTTTAAAAAAGAAGTTGGCAAGTTGATCTTAAAATTCATGTGGAAACAAACAACGAAATTATCTTGAAAACGAAAAGCAACCCTGAAGGTCACATACTTATGAATTTCAAACTTGCTACAATGCCACAGAAATCAAGGCCAGCATAAATGACATGAATATAAATGTATAAGTCCATGGAACAGAGTTGGGCATCCAGGAATAAACCCACACATCTATGCTCAACTGATTTTAGCAAGGGTGCCAAGAAAATTCAATGAGGAAAGAATAATCTTTTCAAAAACTTAGTACTGGGATTTCTGTATATCCATATGCAAAGGATTGAAAAGTTGAACAACACTTCACAACTATACAAAATCCACCCCAAAATGATGATAGACTTAAATGTAAGATACAAAACTCTTGAACCCAGATGAGGAAGTATACACCTTTAATCCTAGCACTCTGGTGGCAAAGTCAGGCTGAACTCTATGAGTTCAAAGCCAGCCTGGTCTACAAAGCTATGAGCTCACAGAGACCCACCTGACTTTGCCTCCAGAGTGTTAGGATTAAAGGTGTCATCGAATCTGAACTGCTGAAGGATGAGGACAGCCGGTTCTTCTGTTTCTGCTTCATTTCAAGTTCTTCCCCTGGCTTCAAATAGAACTGTGCCCCAAGCTATGGCTTGCTGTGGCTGATCAAAAGTGTTGCTCTTGGCAGCAGTACCAACCATCTCTTTCTATGACGCAAGTCTCCCCAGTGCCCCTTAAAGTGTCCCTTCTGATTCCTTTTGGCCTTTGGTGACAAAACGGTGCAGGAAGAGACTGGTGAGTCAGAAAAGGTAGGTACCAAAGGCAGGTCCTGGACAACTTCTTTCCAAGATTGTACTCTTTCTTCTTTCCATTCTGGATCAGTTACATTCCTCAGAGCTATTTGACAAGGAGCAACTTCATCGAGGAAGATTTCATATGGCTAAGAGTCCAAGGAGACAAGTACAGACATCAGCTTTCTCCGCATCCACACCAAGCCTTCCCCATGGGTAAACCAATCCAGAAAGGCCCTCTCAGGCACACATGGAGTTTTTTTCCTTGGTGATTGTCAGTGTAGGCATGTGGACAATGAAAATGACTTAGTACATATTTTAAAACACTGGATAAGATCCAAAATTCATTAACAGTAAGATACAAGTGCCTTGATTAAAATGTCTCCTATCTTTAAGTTTAATTCAGCATCTAGGGAAGTAAAACTAATGGGCAAAAGAGGTTTCCTGGAGGCTAGGTATTTTCCGGTTAGCTTGGCTCCTCACCCATCACAACACACACTTAGCGTATATCTAAAGCCAGCGTGTTCCTTACAGGCAGGAGCCTATCTCTGGGGCTGCAAGTGCACCCTTCCCTACTGGTGACAACTTGAGTTTTCTGTGTAATAAAGTAGTAATTTCACTTTTTGATGCTGTACAAGGATCCCCAGTGAATAGGCTTCATCTCTCAGGGTTCTACCAATAATTAGCACCCTGTAGGAAACCAAACAGAAGGCACTGAAGAGTCTAGAGGAAAATACCTCTCCCTCAAAGCAGTTCCTTGCTGTTTGCTTGTGCTGCTGGAGATTGAAGCCAGTTAAGCCCACTACCCCCAAGCCTCATCCCCTGCCTTTGACACTTTCTTTGGAGAAAACCCTGATGTGTCTTTCCACAGGGAGGGCTGGAAGGAAGGACCAGGAGGGCAGCATTCAACTTTCCAGCCAGGGATAAATTAAATAAGATTGGGATTCAGCCAACTCTGCCTTTCTAATCATGTCGAGAAAGCAGCTTGTGGGTTTAGCATGGACTTAGAGGTACCTTGCAAAGAGAACCAGGCAGCACAGATTCCTGAGGTTTACAGCTGTAGTAGCAGGCCCTGCGTGCACTTTAGATGATGTGATCATACTCTGCCAAACCGAATAGCTGTTGTGTGAGCTCAGTAGACCATCCACTGACTGTTCTCATAATAAACACATCAAAGTACGGACATCTCTTCTTTGCGAGCATAACTGACAGACGGTGTGTGTAACTTGGTGGCTGTGAGAGCTGAAACACTGTAGTGACTGTGTGAGGGCTGAAACACTGTAGTCAGTCATCCAGGATAACTGGGGTCAGTGTACACGCTGATCCGGATTCAGGCAATAAACACAAGTATCTAAAGGCAGAAAACTGAAATCATACCTTAAAAGTATTGAATGCAATGGATAGTTCTTGAAAGTTTCTGTGGCATATTTCCTTTTAAAGAAAACACACACTTCAGAATAGGAATTTAATCAGAGTCATAGAAACTTCCCAGGTCAATTCCTTTAAAAACCGCGGCTCTGCATGTACACGTGTATCAAGGTTGCCTAATCCAATGACTGCAGATGGTGACACGACTAATAGCAGCGAGGTGAACTTACTCAAGGTTATACACTAACTCTGTGGTCTTGGATAAGCGTCTATGCACTCTGTGATACAGGTTCTTCATTTGGAAGGGAGGAAGGAATGAGAACAATACACACCTCACAGGTGGCTGGAGGGTTAAGTGAGTTGTCCCTAGAGAAACTGATGAGGAGTGAGGACAGCAAACAGCTCTCAGCTCCAGCTCTAGGCTACTTTTTTATTTGTTAGTCATAGTAAACTCTACGTGATTCAAATTTATTAGCGTGTTTACCAGTAATAAAGAGAGAGGCAACCCATTGACTTCCAGATCCCAAAGAAAGACCGAAGAGTACAACCCACGAAAAAGACCCGGATGCCTCTGCTATCCCAGACCTCAGGAAGCGCGACTCTGAAACCCTACTGTATGAGAATGTTGGGCCCGCCCTTTCTGAAGCCAGTCAGTTTATCTAGCTGGAGACTGGGTCACCATGCTTCATTGGTTCCCAGGCTGGACGGAACTCTTGGTAAGAGAACTCTGATCGCAGAAATGCATAGGGAATAGGAGAGAGGGTGCGTGTTAAGGTGAGATCTGAAAAATGTGCCATAGGGCCTGTGTTTGAATGCTTGGCCCCGGGCGTAGGGGGCTGTTTGGGGCAGTTGTGGAGTCTTTGGCAGGTGGGTGCTGACTGGACTAACTCCCTTGTCGGCTGAGAGTAGCTGTAACGAGCATCTCCACCGCGGAGCCATGTGCGGCCGTGCTAACCGTGCGGTGACGGACTGGTTCCCTCCTAACAGAGCTAAGACTGTCCCTGCTTCTTCCCTCGCTACTTGCTCTGTATTTGGTCTCAGGGATGAGAAAAATAACCAATACTGCCAGGTGTTGGGGAAGTCCTGTTATTTGCCTGTGCATTTGTCAATAAAGTACTGCTGGCCAATAGGAATCTAGATAGGTGGGGCTAGGAAACACAAGAGAGTTCGAGATGTGACGCCATGGGGAAGGAAGCCGGAACTATTCTCCGGTAAGAGACATACTTAGATTAACAATTATGGGGTAATTACTTAAAGCAGAGCTAGCCAGTAAGAGACAAACAAGGCCAACAGCTTCATAATGAATATAGCCTCCTGTGTGTTTATTTGGGACTGATGCGGATCTGGAACCAGGCTGGTGCGGCAGAGCCCAGGCGACTGGCGGGGGATAAACCAAAGCGGCTAGCAAAAGATAAAGCTTCTCTTAACAGCCAGGAAGTGGAGCTTTACGGAAAACGCGACTCTTCCGCTTCACCGTGCTGGTGGAGAATGAGAGAGGGAAAACAGAGGAAAGGGCGTGCGTGCAAGAGCGGCTGGAGTGAAAGCAGAGAGGACCTCCCTCCCTCTCCTCCCCCTCCCCTCCTTCCTCCCTCTCCTCCCCCTCCCCTCCTTCCTCCCTCTCCCCCTCCCTCCCTCCCCTCATCCCCCTCCCTCCTTCCCTCTCCTCCCCCTCCCTCTCCCCCTCCCCTCCCTCCTTCCCTCTCCTCCCCCTCCCTCTCTCCATCCCCTCCTCCTTCTCTCTCCCCCTCCCTCCCTCTTCCCCTTCCTCCCTCTCTCTCCTCTCCTCCCTCTCTCCCCCTCCCTCCCTCTCCTCCCCCTCCCCTCCTCCCTCCTCCTTACCCTCTCCCCTCCCCCTCTCTTCCCCTCTCATCCTCCCTCCCTCTCCACTCCCTCTCCCCCTCTCTCTCTCCCCCTCCCTCTCCTCTCCCTCTCTCCCTCCCTCTCTCTCCCCCTCCCTCCCTCTCTTCTCCCTCTCTCCCCCTCCCTCCCCCGTCCCTCCCTCCCCCTCCCCTCCCCCTCCCCCTCCCTCCCTCCCTCCCTGTTTTTCACAAGCCAGGAAATTCATTGTTATGGAATTCAATGGATTCTAGTGTGTCTGTAACACGGGAAAACGTCCAGCTGCTCACTCTAAGTCACCATAACTCCCTGAGTAAGTCCACTAGGGTTGTTTGCGGTTCTTCCCTCTTTGAACCCTTGCCAAACAGTTTTCCATTTCCATGAGTTTGCATGTCTGGATACTCCAAGCACATGTGCAGAAACAAATCGTGTGCAGTCTTTCATATGGCTTCCTTAATTCAGCCTAACAGTTCAAAGGACCATCTCTATTTCAATAAGGACTAGGACTTCTTCTTTTTGTGTAGTTAAGTAATACTTCATCAGCTTTCTCTTGGCGCAGCAGATGGATGTTTGAGTTGACTTCACTTTTCCCCCCTTAGATTCAACCTAACGTGTATGGTAGTATCTTGCATGGGTCTCACATTTCCTTGATGACTAATGAAGCTGGGACTCTCTTCATGTTATTGGTGACTTGTATATCTCCACATATTCTGGACATCAGATTCTTTTCTAGAAATACTATGGGAACTTTATTCTGCTCTAACACACACACACACTTATTTTGAGGTAGGGTCTCTCTATGTAGCTTGGGTTGTCATTGAACTCACGATCCTCCCACTTTATTATACTTCTGTGAGTGTTGGGGAATGCAGATACATATCATTACACCTGGTTTCTACTTTCACTCCATTGAAGTTATCCTTTGAAACACAAAGTTTTCAATTTTGACAATATTCAGTCAACCAATTTTTGCTTTTGTGATTGATTCCTTTAGTGGCCTATCTAAAAGATTATTGCTTTATTTAAGGTGACAAGAATCTCTGTTTTCTTCTAAGAATTTTATAGTTTTATCTAAAATAGTTATATTCTATCTTGTGTGATCTTTTTCTGTATGGTATGTAATTAGGACCAAGATTCTTCTTCTTTTATTATTTATTTATTTATTTATTTATTTATTTATTGTCATGTGAATATCCAATTGTCACCCTTTTTTAAGAATGAACAGTAAAATTTTATTAAAATTAATACTTACAATTTATAGCTAATGGACATTGAGAAACAGCGAACCGGAAATGAAGAACATCTTCCCAGGAGAAAGGAAGGACAGCTGCTGGCGCTGGCGCTGAGAGGAACAACTCAGGAGGGGATTCCGCGAGGGCAGACTAACTGGAGTGTCTGTATGCAGCGAGGAGATAGGCTGGGGATGAGTCTTTGCTTCCCTCCGTTGTCTGTCATCCTGTGGGAAGTCAATGGACCACTTGTGCTTACTTCTGAGCTCCAATCCTATGCTATTTATCATGTGCCTATTCTTACCCTCATGTCTGTGGTTTCACAAGATTTGAAATAGGAATTGGGCTTCTCCAGCTTTGTCCTCAAAACTGTCTTTAGAGTCAGCTAATGTTTTGGTAAGTACTGTATTGAATCTGTAAGTAATTAAATATTCAGTTTGCCCATTTAGTAATATCAAGTATTTAGATCCATAAACACAAGATGTCCTTCCCTTTAAGTCTCATCAAAAGTATTTTGTAGCTTATAATAGCTCAAATATTTTATTTCATCTGATACTAATGTCAATGGGATTATTTCATTAACTTACTTTTCTAAGTATTCATTGGTTAATAGAAATACAGCTGATTTCTGAAACTTGACCTTGAGTCCTGAAATCTTATTGACCTTTCATCTATAATCAATTTGTTTTTATTTCTGTGTATTGATTCCCTAGAACTTTGTACATGTAACATACTATCTGTACATTATAAAATAGAAATAGTTTCAGAGTCTGGATGCTCAGTATTTCTTTTTCCTGCCTAATCTCTAGAGCCGGAAAGTTCATTGACCATGTTTTATACATAGGTATACTGAGTTCCAAGGATGATATCTAAAAGCTTTCATTACTTCCGTAGTTTGAGTTTTAATTTTGGTGATGATTTGTGGAATGCTCAGCTGTGCCCTAGACTTGAGTTTCCCATCTGAAAACTTTGGGCATCGATCAAAGCAAATTGGTAAGCGCACTGGGATGGCAATGTGTGCTGCGGAAGAGATGAGCAGCACTTTGTGATAGATCCAATCGCCAGGACAGGCCTCTCTGAAGAGATCCCAATAAAACACAGCTTAAACGCTAAGAAAGATGCTCCTACTTAAAGGTCTTCCCGGGCATCTCTGAAGAAAAAGGGCTTGGGAGAGTTAGTTCATTTCTATCACTAGACTGAATATCAGGGCTGAGGCCAACCTTTCTGACTGATTGTCTATGAACCCCCAGAGTACAGTACAGGCCTGTACATTTTAGTCCTCAACAATAGTTGTTGAATGAATGGATGCCTAAGTGGGTTTATGGTCAGGCAATACATGAGGCTCCAACAACTTATCTTTTTCAGCTGCCCTGGTTTCTGACTTCACATTTGTGTGCCTAGTAAGTGCTTGTCATTCATTTTGTTTCACGACAGCTCAGTTGAGGATTAGAGTTGAGAATAAAAGTCTCTTTTGGGCTCTTCTGTTGCCAAGTTTCAGTGTCAGGGATTTCCTTGGGGAGGTACTGAGAAACCATTTCCCCTTATGCAGCTGAGATTGCATCATGGGGGACTAAGGAGCTAGGTGGGGTGCAGTGTTGGGATGGGGGATGAACTGAAGGACATATAAGATACTTACAAGGAATCTTGAGTTGGTTCAGTTTTCATGTTTCATGTAAATCAGGCTTTCTCATCAACCAGAAGTCAAACACTGGGATTCTGCATGTCCAGTTAGTATCCGGACGTTGTGAATGAACAACGGATTGCTCCCACAGTCTTCCAAGGAGACCTTATCTCTGACCAAGAACATCTCTTTGCTTTGTCTCTTTTGGGGGGCCCACCACCCAACTCCCAAATAATCATACACAGAGACATTTTATTTCTTATACATGCCCACCTTAGCTTGACTTGTTTCTAGACAGCTTTTATTTTATTTGTTTGTTTGTTTAAAAATTTTTCATTTTATATTTTAACCACAGTTCTCCCTCCCACTTCTACTCTCTCCCCATCTACCTCCAGGCCACCCCCATCCACTCCTCCCAACGGGTAAGGGCTTCCATGAGGAGTCCACAAAGTCCAGTACACCAAGTTGTAGCAGGACCAAGCCCCTCCCCACTGCATTAAGGCTGAGCATGGTATCCCACCATAGGGAATGGACTCCCACAAGCTCATGAACCGGGACTAGATCCTGGTCCCACTGCCAGGAGTCCCTCAGACGGGCCAAGCTTCACAACTGTCTCCTACATACAAAGGACCTATGGAGGCTCCATTGCTGTCTTCTAGAGTTTTTGAGTTTCCATGAGCTTGGTTCAGCTCATGGAAACTGTAGCTCATGTCTCTGTAGATTTCTCATCATGATCTTGACCTCCCTTGCTCATATGTTCCTTCCTCTCTCTCTTCGGCTGGATTCCAGTGCTTGACATGGTGCTTGGTTGTGGATCTCTGCTCCTGGTTCCATCAATTACTGGATGAGGGTTCTATGATGATACTTGGGGTATGCACCAGTCTGATTTTAGGGGAAGGCCAGTTCTGGCACCCTCTCCACTATTGCTAGGAGCCTTAGCTGGGGTCATCTTTGTGGATTCTTGCGAATTACCTAGCAACAGGTTTCTCACTAACCCCATAATGGCTCTCTTTCATTACTGTCCCCTCTGTCCCCACTGAAAGGTTCAGGCATTACGCTGGCCTGCCATACCTGGCAGAATGCACTCAGGCAGGACTCTGGTCAGCTCAGAGTTCCATGAGAACTAGTCTGTACCCAGGCATAAAGGACCCCTTTAAGAGACAGATCCCCACCCTCTTCTCTTGCTCTCTGCTCTTACCCCACACCCTCTCGTCTCTCCCGTGTCTCTCTTCCCCTCTCCCCGCGCTGTAATAAACTATGGTTAATACAGCTCTCTTATCTCGTGTTCCATCTCGTGTCCTCTAATTTTAAACTTTAACAGAAGAACAGCACCCACCCCACCCCGACCATCCTGCTCCCTCATGTTCTCATCCTCCCTCACTTCCCCCTTACTACTCCCCCTCCAGGTTACCAAGGAGATCCCATCTAATTTCCCTGCCCAGGGGAATCAATGTGTCCCTCTTAGGGTGGGTCCTCCTTGTTACCTAGCTTCTCTGGAGCTGTGGATTGTAGTTTGGTTATCCTTTGCTTTATATCTAATATCCACTTATGAGTGAGTGTATGGTGGTTTCTCAGAAAATTGGAGATCAATGTACCTTAAGACCCAGCGATACCACTCTTGTGCATATAACCAAAGGCTGCTCAATTATACCACAAGGACACTTGCTCAGCAGTGTTCATAGAAGCATTATGCATAATAGCCAGAACCTGGAAACAACCTAGATGCCCCTCAACTAAAGAATGGAAAAGAAATTGTCGTTTATTTACATAATGGAGTATTACTCAGCTGTAAGAAATAATGGTATCATGACATTTGCAGGCAAATGGATGGAACTAAAAAACCAACCAACCAAACAAACAAAAATATCCTGAGTGAGGTAACTCAGACTCAGAAAGACAAACACAGAACGTAGCCAGCTTTTCTTAACTTAAATTATCCCATCTACCTTTTGCCTTTGGGTTTAACCTTTTTTCTGTTTCTGTATACCTCTCTTTACTTCTGTCTCCATGGTTTGCTGTGTAGCTGGGTGGCTGGCCCCTGCAGTCCTCCTCTCCTCCTCTTGCTCCCCAATCTTTTCTTCCCAGGTTTCTCCTACTTATTCTCTCTGCCTTCCAGCCCTCCCTATCCTTTCTCCTGCCTTGTTATTGGCCATTCAGCTCTTTATGAGGCCAATCAGGTGTTTTAGGCAGGCAAAGTAACACAGCTTCACAGAGTTAAACAAATGTAACATAAAAGAATGCAACACATCTTTGCATCATTAAACAAATAGTCCACAGCAAAAATGAATGGGACACATCTTAAAATAGTGTTCCCCAACAAGGTCTAATGGTGGCTATCTTGTTAATTAACCTCCTCTGTCTTTATTGCCAAATGTAGCAAATTTTGTCTTGATGATTTCAGTCTAGATATTGACACTTTGTTATATTAAGATCTTGGGAGGGGAAACTCGACTATGGTGGTCCATCCCTGGAAGCTCAATTCTTGGTGTCCTGAACTGAACAGAAGTCTCGTCTCTCATCTGTCACCTCCTCCCCAAGAAGCTGACTTCGTTGTCAGTATCTGACTTTAATCTGCCTATATTCCTTTTGGGACTTCCTTTCTTTATGGTCTGCTTCTGAGATTTAGCTCCTCCCATGCCACAAACATTTGTCCACATAACATCTCTTAGCTTCTCATCATTTTATTAGTCTACCTTTCACTTTCAGATCTTTAATCAACTTGGGAATAGCTTTTCCTGTAGTCATCATTAGTGAGTTATCTGTAAGTACTCGTTCTATTGTTTTTTAAACACTTACCTCCAGTTTTAGATGAACATGCTGCCACTTCTAATATAGACCACATTCCCATGCAGTTAGGTAAGGTCACCAAGTTAACTTTAAAAAGTATGTATGAAACACTTCGAAAGGGCTTTTAAAATAGGAAACATACCACCTTTCTTCTCTTGATTTTTTTTCTATTATAAACCTAGAAATGATGCACAGAGTTATGAGCAGACTTCTTGGGCCATTCTGAGGATGGCAGAGCAGAAAGAGAGAAGATCCATGTGGCTGCTTTCAGCCCTGCATCTTACCTCTGGGCTTCTCCTACAGGACAGAGAACTCACTTATATTGTGTTTAAGACACTTGTTTGTTTGTTTGGTTTTTTTTTGCTGCTGTTGATTCGTATATATTTATTTATTTATGATAGTTACTATAATTCAACCTAGAAGGTTATCTTATGTTTTTCCTACACAACAAAAGACAGTCCCAAAAAATGATTGCTAAGTCATCCTGCTAAATGATTTCACCCTTTTCTATTAATTGTCAAGTTAACTAAATATGTCAAATTCTTACATATTTATGAATATATTGCTGGTAATCCTACAGAGTTCTGCTTTATATTACTTCTGCATCAGAAACCTTATGTAAACCTTATTAAATGCTTTTTTCTGTACTTATCAAAGTGGTCATTTTTTCCTATTTGATTATACATGTGACGTGACTTTAAATACATCAGTCATACAATTTCTTGCTGGAATTTACTTCAAAATTTAATCTATGTCTACAATGAGTTCCTTCTACATTTATCTTTTATTGAAGCCTGTAAAGATTATGAAGAGTAAAGGTTAACAAAACATTTGGCATTCCCACATATGTGTACAATGCACTTTGCTCATATTTACTTCTATTATTTTTATTCCCCTTTCTTCCTTCCTCCCTTCCTCCCTTCCTCCCTTTCTTTCCTTCTTTCTTCCCTTTCCACACTCAGAGTAGCCATCCATTTAATTTTAGTCCTTTTCCCTCTACTAGATTCTATATATGAGAGAAAGCATCTGATTTTTGTTTTTCCAAGTCATGCTTATTTCTTGGAACATGAAATCTCCAGTTCTACCCATTTTGTTGCAAAAAAGACATTTCATCTTCTTTATGGTTGAGTAGAACATCATTATGTATATCCACCATATTTTCTTCATTTCTTCATCTATTTGGGGGTTGGGGAGGGTAGAAGGCTGATTCCAAAACTTGGCTATCACAAACAGCCTACACTATAGTTGGGTATAACTAGAGAGCTACAACACAATTAATAAAGTGCTTGCCTTACAAGTATGAGGACTCAAGTTCCATCTTCAGAGCCCACACAAAAACGCTGGTGATGGCGGTGTATATGTATAACTCCAGGTCTAAGCGGCAGAAATAAGACAGCCCCTGGGGCTTGCTCACTAGCTAGCTTAACCAAATTGCCTAGTCTAAGTCAATAAGAGATCTTGTCTCAATAAATGACTCTATGCAATGGTACCCAAGGCTGGCCTCTGTGCTGTGAACAAGGGCATACAGCAGAGGCACACACACAGAGGAAAAACAATCTCAGGGATACAAGTGTGTATTTAGAAATCTGACTTGAACTCTTGGGGCACATACCTAGAAGTGGTATGATTGAATCACATAAAACTGACACCCTGATGCCTGCATTTTTCAATGTGGCTTTTTTTGTAATTGACTTCCTATCTTCTATGTGATAAATTAGAATTTTCTCTTTGTGTACGAGTCATGACTGTCTACTCCAGGTCTTATGATAGTTAATGCTAATTTAGTAAATCCTTACTCATGCTTATTTTTCTCTATCAATATCTAAAGATGACATAGATTATGTTTCTCCAGAGAAGATGTATTATCAACACCTTCCCCTTGACAATGACTCCTCACAGGACCCTTTCTCCCCACTAACTTACCCCTGGATTACCTATCATGACATAATTTTGTCCTTTGTCACAGTCCAGTCTAACTAAAGAAAATCTACTTTTGAGACAGTGCTCTTTGTCTTTCCATCCTGTATCATGCTACATCCCCTCTGTTTGTCTTTCTGCTGGAGGACAGACTGCTGATGTCTTCTAGTAGCAAACTCAGAGACACACAGGCTGGAGACTGTTTCAGGCATTGTTACATTTAAATGATTAATTATTTGGTTATTAAATTCAAAGTGAAAAATTGTTTCCTTTCAGTTCTTTAAAGAAAGTGTGTATCTGTCTTCTTTTTTACAGTTTTACCATTCACAAAATCTTTTTCTTTTGTGTCCTATTCAGCACAGTAAATCTTGTCCAGGAATGTCTTCAGTTCTGGGAAGTCAAGGATGCTGTCAGTGCTCAGCTGTACTGGAGTCTGAAGAGGAGAAGATGCTGAGTGCACGCCAGTGTACCTACTCTTCTAGCTCTAACTGCTCTCTCCCAGGGCACAGCCTGCTAGTCCCATGGTGGGAAGAGAGGAGGCAGTGCCGTTTTGTGGGCAATACTGGGAAGATAACAGAACCCAAAGTTGTCCTACCAGCCTATCCTCATTTGCAACCTTAAAATACCTGCCTTGTTCCAGATACAGTCACCTCTTCTTCTCAAAGAGTTTATTACAAAAAAAAAAAAACTAATGAGGTACAGGGCCAGTTCTGAGCTCTTCTTCAACTCCTCTGGGGTTCGGTTAAGCAGAGGGAAGTATCAATAGGATTACTTGGGTTTGTAATTAAACGTAGTTGCTCAATGAATATTTGTCTTTGGTCAGCACTGACAACAGTTCTTTGCCCAGGACATCCTCCTGAGTGCTGTTGGTTCACGGGTTGATAATGAACAAAGTCAACTCTCAGAAGTCATTCAGTCTGTCTTCCCTAGGGGGGAAAAAAGCACTCACTGCTATCACAAAGGCACAGGTAGGAAATCTCTACTGCATTCAGGAAGGCTTGGGGCTACCTCCTCAGCTTAGGCCCTCTTCTTACTTCAGCATTCGGGTGCACATTCTATATAGCAACCATGATATTGCTGCCCATTGATAGGTATTGACTGCTAGTCTCTAAGTGTGTGTGTGGAGGGGTGGGGGTGCCTTAGCTGAAAAGATAAAAGAAAAAGCCATTAAAAGGAAGGACTCAAAGAACTATTGTATGAATATTTTATGCTGATGTAGTTCACAGTTTTGCTCACTCGTTAAGTGATAACTAAAAAAAATGAGAAGTAAACACAAGGAAGAGGCAGACAGTAATTACAGTATACTAGAAAATTTGGGACAATATTCTAGATGTCCTTTTGACAAAGTCTGGCCATTATAGACCCTATGCATAGGAGGTACTTGTAAAGGGTCTTGAGGTTGAATGGATTTAGCTAAGGCATATTGCAAATATTATTCTTGGGATTTCTTATCTGCAAGATATTATATATCCTATTTCAAAGAACAGTGACACGCATCTGGGAGAATTCATCTATTTGATCACCACGAGAAGAATTAAATAATAGCTGGATTTTTAAGAAGTTCAACTCATCCTCCCAACAGTCCTGTGGAATAGGTATTGTTGTTATTCATATATTGCAGACAGGGAAACGAAACCCCAGGTGGTCCAAGATCACACAGCCAATAGGTGCTTGTGTTGGGACCCACAGCCAACGGTGTGTGGGCCCAACTACATGTAGCCCTGTTTCCAAGGCAGTTGCCACTTCCGTCTGAGACACTATAAGATAAGGTTAGATAAATGTGTTTATGGGTTGACAGGTATGGCTAAGCTATCATACCTCCGGGAAGACCTTGTTTATCATTTCTCATCGTTTTTACAAAAGCAGGTCTTGTAGCAGCTCATATTATATCACCAATAAATAAAACTGGTGATCATCAACCCTAAATGTTCATTATAGAAACCTGACATCATTTTTATTCATGTAGAATTCACTTCTTTAACGGTGCTTTTAGGAAATGAGCAAATGCTTGTAGGAGAGCCAAGAGGAAAATGGTGTCCATTTTCTAAGTGATGAAAAAGCATCCCTGTACTTACGTAGTGATATTTGATGTATGTGTTCATAAACTCTCTTGCTGTTTTCAGGGGAAGTTAATAAAAATACCTGTTTTGGAGATGAGATAATCTATTCTCGAAGAAAATATATGGAGGTCAGCTTTTGTGGACTTGGTGGGCAGAGGCCGTGCAGTCTTCAGAGACAAATGAGGTTTTTGTAAGCACAGGAAGAGTTGTGGGTGGACATACAGGACTCCTGGAGTCTCTGCTCCTCTCAGGGACATCTCCTTGGTTGTCTGCTGCTCATTTGCCAGAGGGTAAACATGAGACCAAAGTCCTGCTTCTGCCAGGATTAATCATTTCCTCTTTATCTGCATCAAAGTTCTTTGATATAGGAGAACTTCCTGTCTCAGCTGGACTGCTCTGTGTTCTGATTTCAATCAATTACAGTAAATATTGACATGTAAGGTCATTGCTTACCTGATAGAAGAGGGTTATCATGAGAAAAAAAAATCCCACTTACAAAATGTTTACTCCTTTCACACAGAGAGAGAGAGAGAGAATGAGAGAGAGAGAGAGAATGAGAGAGAGAGAGAGAGAGAGAGAGAGAGAGAGAGAGAGAGAGAGAGATTTTTAAAATGTAGAGGGAAAAAAGTTTTGGATTTTTTTTCATTTTCTTATTTTACAGTGTTTAAATAATTTTTTCTTGTTTCTAATTTGGTTTTGCAGGGCAATTGTTGTTAACATAGAGATTGGAATCAAAATCCTGAGCTGGTTTGTGGCTGCAACATTGTCTGGTTGCCTAACATTGAGGAAGCTATCAAACTCTATAAAAGGAGATAATAACAAGATCTATATTTTATAAAGAATTTAGCTCAGTGCCTGGAACAAATATCTTCATGAATATTAGCTATGCTATTATAATATTTTTAAATGTACACATATGCAAATCACAGTAGGTTTTGCATAATCTAAACACTTTGCTGCCAAGTACAGAATCTAGATGTAAATGGACTCAGCAATTTTCTTAAAAGCACAACAATTCTTTAAAATCCTTAAACAGGGATATTATCTGTACAGGGAAATCTAACTTTTAAAAAATTAGCCGGGCGGTGGTGGCGCACGCCTTTAATCCCAGCACTCGGGAGGCAGAGGCAGGTGGATCTCTGTGAGTTCGAGGCCGGGCTGGACCGATAGCCTCCGAAACAATACAGAGAAACCCTGTCTCGTAAAAACCAAAACAAAAATTATATATGCCAGGTCAACTTGAATGATAGTCTAAAATAGTAAGTGTGCATTCGCTTCAGTGGCCCATGACACCTAACACTGCTCCCACTAGTCAAAATGTTCAGTTCTCATCAGTTGCCAAAATACTCTCTCCCTTCCTTTGTTCTATTCCACCTTTCACCCAGACTAAATGTCTGTATGGGAAGGTCCTCTGTTGGGTCCATCTTGTCCATCTCTCAACTAGTCCGACCTTGTGTCAACAGTACTTTTGCGATTGTGATGCATTTAGAGCAAGTCTCCGTAGCCAGCCATGACTCTTCCAGCTCTGTACTCTCCAAGGTTGTCTCAGCTTTAGCTGTTACTTCCATAAATTTAGCATCAGCTGGTTAATTTGTACCTTTTGATGTCAGTTTTAATAAATGTGTTCTAGAAGTTTTCCATTTTACCTAAAATTCCGAATCTATTTTCATAGTTCTGATGCCCTCATCTTTTTTTATTTTTTACTGTCAGTAGGATCTATGGTGGTAGCTTTTGTTTTTCTTGAGACAATTTCTTGTGTTTCTCTTTAAGTACTATTTCAGTTTCGTGGCACAAAATGTATTACTATTATTATTTGTTTCAGTATCTCCTAATTCCCACTATCATCTCTTCTGGAGTGCTAGTATTTTTAAGAGTCGTGCAAACAGATGGGAATTTTCTAGTTATTAGGGAGGGGAGTGCTGCTGTTGATGTCTAGATTAATTCGAGAATATGCTCTTTAATTTTGATCATGTGAAGTTTGTTCAAACAGCATATGGACGAGCATATGTTCCCCTTTGATAAATGGTGGTTCAGTTACATAAGGGTGGGGTGCTCTACATGTGACAATCAGGCCACTTGTGTTCTTCATTGAACATGTAGTGTCACTTGTTACTTTCAGGGTTTACCAGCCGAGACTATGTGTCTTGCTCTTCTAAGTTTTCGTTGCTCTGCCCACACTTGCCATTTGTTCATTTAGTTCCTTTAACAAGGCAAAGCTCGTGGCTGACATCCGTGGTTACCGTGGCTGAGGCCTGAAGTGTCCCATGAAGTCTATGGATACACACCTGCTTCTCAGAGGACCGCACTGTCTGGGAGGGCCTCCCGGCCATGCTCAAGTCCTGGGCGTGGACTTTTGAGGGTTATAGCCAGGCCCAGACTCTGCTCTGGTTTTCTTTTTCTTTTCTTTATTGTTATTGCTATTGTTATTTTTGGTTTTTCAAGACAGGGTTTCTTTGCATAGCCCTGACTGTCCTGGAACTCACTTTGTAGACCAACAGGCTATGGTGAACTCATTGAGATCTGCCTGCTTCTGCCTCCCAAGTACTGGGCTTAAGGGCATTCGCCACCACCACCTGGCCTGCTCTGGTTTTCTACTGCCTAATGGCCACGATACAAGGGAAAGCAGCCGCACAGCCCCCTCCCCCCACACACATGCAGCATAGCCCTGTCTGGGGCCATGCTTTCCTGGACTCCATGATGAACTAAAATCCCCCAAAACCTTGATTAAAGTCACTTTTTCCCTCCCTCGAGGTGCTTCCATCATGTGTTTTTGTCACAGTGACAAGAGATATTGTCTGAGTCAGGTATGAGGGTGGACGTCTCTCATCCCCGCACTTGAGAGGCGGATCTCCGAGTTGTAGGCCTGCCTGGTCTGTATAGCAAGTTCCAGGTGAACTAGGACAACATAGAGACTTTGTCTCAACACTTAAAGAACAAAAAGAAAAGTTGACCGATATAATGAGACAATAATCAGACACCTGGCCTAAGTTTTCTTACCTTGGACTCCAGTTTAGTCTTATTTTCTCAACTACACAAACGGTTTTATCACCAGGAGCTGCACATGAAAAACTGAGAGAGACTGAAGTACTGGGTGTGCCTGTCCTTGAGAAAGCACTCTCTTTCACTTCTGGAAGATGGTCTGAGCCAGAGCCACCAGGTGGGCTTCTGGGCAGGAAATGCAGGGTTTAGGGCTGGGTTTCATCAGGTGACAGGGTGAGTCTGTTTCAGTTTCCTTTGGATGCCCCTTTGGGACATCAACTCACTTCCAGGGCTTATTCTCCTCCTTGACAAGCTGCCATTAGTTTTTGCACTCTATATTTGTCTGCAAGATGCTGTGTTTAGTGGCAGGAGAGACGACTCTGTTAGTAAAGCACTTGCTTTGCAAGTGTGAGGACCTGAGTTTGGATCCCCAGAACCCACATGAAAAGCAGGAAGTGGTGGTGCATTCGTGAAATCCCAGTAATGGTGTTGGATTGCTAGAGGTTTCTGGCTGACTAGCCCAACCTACTAGGGAAAGTTCCAAGGCAGTGCGAGACCCTGCCTCAAACAAAATGTAGGTGGTACCTGAGAAACAACACTCGAGTTTGTATTCCTAATCGCCAAGAACAGACATGTGTATATGCCCACACATGTGTAACCCCCAACCACATACTTACACACACACACACACACACAAACAAATAAATATAATAAAAATTGTGCTCAGCGTCCCACAACTAGAAGAATACCATCACTTTTCAAGGCTTTGTTCTTCTCACTAAGGTGTTTGCTCCACACGACATAACTCTTACTGTGTAAACATGTGTATTGTAGGTTTTCTAGGTCTGAAGGGGTAGTTTGGCCTCATTAGACAACCACTTTTCGGTGGCTTTTTCTCTGAGAACTCTTAGCTCATTAATTTTAAGCTAAGAGCACTATCTCAGCTTCTCAGAGTTTAGCAAACACAGACCTGTGTTTGGAATTATGACAGAAGAATGAGATAAATATGATAGTTGCTTCAATTCACTAACTTGTAGAGTGTTTGCCGTGAATTTCAGCGCTTATGTCCTCAGTTGATACTATTGCCACCAGAAAGCCCTAGGGTGCATCATCAGCTTTGGGACCTGTGGTTGGTAGCAGCTGGGGAGAGGCAAAGAGAACAGTGTTCTCAGATCTGAAAATACCAGTGAAGTTGTCACAAAGGACATTAAAAAGGCTTTGTTATAAAGTTGAGGACATGGGGGCCCCTCTTATATGACAGCAGAATAGAAAAGGTAGTAAGTGGATGATTTAGCTAGGGAAGAGTCCACGTAGGGGACTGAAGTTGCTATGCATAGGACTCTTTAGTTGCCCACAGCAAAACTGGAGAAGAGAAGAATGTGGTGGGCAGAAAACATGGTGGGTAGAATTCTGAGCAGACGCATGATCTCAATCCACCCCGGCACTGCACCAACCGGTAGGATGCGTGGCAGTGAATAAGGGATTTTGAAGACTTAATTAAAGTCCTTAATTAATAACTTTGAATTGATAGAAACAAGCTTATCTTAGGTGGGCTTGACCTTCTCAGCTGAGTCCTTAATAGGGACTGTTCATGTTTTATGGGGAGGGGATCTGGAGAGATGGCTTAACTGATAAGGAGCTTGTTTTATAAGAAAAAGGACCTGAGTTCAGTCCCCAGTAACCAAGTAAAAGTGTAGACGGTGTGGGTATATTGTACCCCAGTACTGAGGAGGCAGTGCCAGACAAATCTGTTACTGTTGGCCAGTCAGCCTAGCGTGTCAGCCAATGCCAGGTCCTAGTGAGAGACCCTGTCACAAAATAGAGATGGATGGCCCCAACATTGACCTCTGACCTCCATGCACACATACACACAATCACACACATGCATACCTGCACATACCTGAAACCATGCACCACACCTGCACACACACACACACACACACACCTGAACCCATGCACCACACCTGCACATACACACACACACATACACCTGAACCCATGCACCACACACACACACCTGAACCCATGTACCACACCTGCACACACACACACACACACACACACACACACACCTGAACCCATGCACCACACCTGCACACACACACACACACCTGAACC